TTGTTGAGTAATGTATATCCTAATTTATTACATATTATAATAAAAAATTGCTTTTCAAATGATTGTTATTTAGTCGCTCAATATCATCGCGATTGTAACATGATGTAAAAAATATTATACATCTTTTTTTTATTTATCTGTTTTTAATTCTTTAAAGTAGAAAAAAATGAAAAATACATCAAGATGAAATTAAGTCAATCTACATACATTAGTGAAAATCGTATTATTAGACGCATGAAAAATGCCTAATTTCAAAAAATCATTCACTAGTGCAGGTACAAAAAAATTGCGTGCCTTATGTCAATTTGTGTATTCACATCATTACAGTATGTGAGATTTCCACGATCGAAATTTGAACTGAATGACACTGTAACGTAACATTTGAAAATGTCGCACGGTCAGTCACGTGATCGATGTAACTTTTCGTTGTTGAATAATAGCCTTGTTATTTTATATACTGTAATCGAGAATCGGTTTGAAAACGCTAGCTGCATTTCACTCTTCATGGAAATCGTGTACGTAATTAAAAGTGCTCGCATGTGTTAAAATCAGTTAAATGAATAACACGAGATCGTCGCATGTCATCTCGTATCAAAAAGCATTATTATTAATTAAATCTCTCTAAATCTCATCTGGTTTCATTCCGTGCAGTGTTGATTAGAAATCTAGTTGAAGTTACCATTCTCCTATGTTATTCGTGAGTCACTACACATGTTTGTGTCTAATATCATGTTACGAAAAGAACGATTCTGCTGATGTATTATTTAAAAATTTAGCTATGTGTGCACAGAATTAATTGTATAGTTTCAAACAAGATTAAAATTACAAAAAGGAGATTAAAATTACAAAAACTTATTAGAATATTTGTAAATTCATTCAACACAACACTTAAGATTTGTTCTTTTTAGCTAAAGTTCTTTCACGTTGGAAAGGAAGAAAAAAAAGATAAACCAAGATGCAAGAATTTTAGGTAAAAAGAACAGATTTATTGTAAATTTACTCACTTTTAAAATTTGCATTTTGTTCCAAGAACACATAATCGATTCTTAGATCTGAAAATACTTTTGTTAGATTATCAAAATAATTATAGGAAACTCAAACGCTGCAAAAAATGTTTGATACTTTAGCAACAAATTATTTTCAGATCTGTATTTAGCTAAATTTTTAGATAGGTACTTCAATAAAACCATTTTTTCTGTACTATGTTGTGCATATTGCGCAATCAAAATTATACGTATTCGAATTTCACGACTCTCTTTCGTGTTTTACAAACGACATTTCTCTCTCGGAAATGAATCTGGCGTGCAAATTGTATCGTCAAATTGCATATCGAATAATCAATAGTTCGTTGAATACTACGCGAATCATGTTGAAAGTGTTCTCGAAGGAGAAACAGCGTGAAGTTGCTTGGCGATTATTCGCTTGTCGCCAAGTTCGTATCGCTCATCGATAGATGAGGAGTACTATACTGATCTTTATCGTATCACGTCGCGTTACATTTCGAGATAATACGGTAAGCTCGTTTATTCTCGCGTGTATAAACAAACACCACGTCTAATCGTACACATTAGGTGACAAGCAATGGTCATTTAAGCATGCGAGCGTTGGGTGAATCTCGCTCAGAGAAAGTCAACGCGCGTTGTATAACCGATGGCGAAAATGCGAGCCGTAGAGGTATAGACGTACTTGGAAGTACTGAATAAGTCAAATCGGGTGTTGTGCGATTGTTATACTATTCGTTCCATATGTCTCATTATTCGAGAAGAAGTATCGAAAAAATTATGGCGTTCGGATGATTATACAATAGGATTACAGATTAATCTTTAAATAGGGAAGTGGTTTAAAGACACAAGTTAATAGATTTAAACATCCCAAAAAATATTTTAATTTTATAATATATTTATATTTTTTATTAGTATATTATGTTATATTTCAACTTACATTAGTATTTTTATATTTTACAACTTATATTTTTATTTTTATTCCCCTTATACACATTTAATACTAACCAATTAGATTATTAGGTACTGAAAAACACTAGATAATTAATTATTTATTTGGATACTAAAAGCATTAAATAGTGTTTTTAATAAAATAAGTAATTTATTAAAATAAGTGATATTGTTTTTCAATATTATATAAATTAGTCTTAGTATTAGATGTGATAAAGAAATGTGTGTAAAAATAATGAATTTTTAAACTTCTGTGAGTGCAATATTTTTTATTTTTCTTTGTCAGAACAAGGGTTTAAAGAATACCAAGCATACCAATCTATTTATCAATTTAAAGATTAACAGTACTTATTCAGACAGCATCGAAGAGTTTTGCATTTTGTCTTCAAGCAAGCGATGTCAATCCCTCTGCTACTGAAACGCCATTGAACGAGGAAAGAGGAAGAAAGCACCATGGTAAGATAATACGAAGCGAAGTATTTATCGGTTAACTTGTCATCTCAGAGGGGAGGGAGAGATATCTTCGGGAAGGATTGCGCAAACATTTCCCAGGGGCATGCGAATGAACACCGGGTATCTAAACACGATGAGTGGAATTATGCGCAAACATCTCGTACGACAACACGACGTGTTCAGGGGGGAAAGAGTTAACGCTCGAAAGTATCAATATGCATTAGGGCCCGATGTTGCCTCGAATCACCTGGAGTAGATAGATGTAACGAGTTATGAATTATGAATCATTCGATGGAGAACAGGGTGTTTTCTCTATTTCCTCATGGCGAGTCTGCCGACGAAAAGACAAAAGTAAGTCCTGGTATCGGAAGTTAATGAATATTTAGTTACGATTATTGCTATGCAAATATTTCTTTACGACAGATAATTAAAGATCTCGTCGAGTCAGACCCTCTCGAGTTTCATTCCGGAAGACTTAATTGTGGACTCATCTGTTCAAGTTATTGCTTGATAATGGAATAAATGAAGAAATAGACAAGATTAGAACGATACCGCACTATAAAAGTAATATGACAGAAAAATTAAGCGATATTGCTTTTCAGCCTTTTACATTTGAGTGATTGTTGCTCTTATATTCAGATGTCGTTAACGTCTACAACATAAATATACGTTAATGCACCGTAACGATAATATCATACTGAGGTTTTAATATTTTATGCACTTTAATTGGTAACGAATGCGTTCTAGCGACGAGTGCGTCGTAACATTTTTAAACTCGATCGGGAGTTGTAGAATATTCCCATGAAAATTTCCTCTAATACATTTTCTCCTGTTCTCTGGTCATAAAAACAAGGTAAATGTTTAAGAACAAATACGACTGTAAAATTAAATACAGTGAAAACAAAAATTACAAGTTATTGGACCTTGTATAGAATATAATAATATTGGTCTTGTCAATTTTTTAAATTAGAATATTTTTTTGCCTTATTTTTTACAAATCTTTGATATCTTGTTCTCTGGGATTGGTATATTTAGTCATCGTTGTTAATATTACATAAAATTATATATATATATATATATATATAATGTTATGTAA